TGTGGTCATACTCTCACCAGGTACCAGTTTTTTTTTAGGTAGGTTTGAAGTACCACCTGCCAGTGAATCGGTGTTTGACGAGGTGGTGGTGGTGATGATGTCCACGCTATACCGGAATGATGGGGGCGAGAAACTACCTGACCATTACCTGAGCACCACCTGAGCACTTCTTGATCACCACCTGAACATCACCTGAGCAACACCTGAGCACCACCTGAGCACCAGAAAGCTTAATCCGGGGGTATCGTGGTAGAGACAACAGCTGACTCAGAAATACCTGGGGGGGTGACAGAGTTAAGACATGGTCTCGTGTAAGCTAAGTACTGATCAACTTCCCGACAGAAGTTCCTGTACCTGACGCAGCTAAATCCTGTCGGGGTTTGAGTATCTTAGCTGACAAGAACAAGAAAATGTTCTTTTAAGTCCTCCAAGAAGAACATAACATTGTCTCGTGTGTCTGAGGAGTAGCCCCGGTAGGAGTAGCCCCGTTGATGGCCCGTCCAGGAACCCGGCAGGAGTAGTTGTCCTGGCCAGGTGCCCGGGCAGGATGATATAGAACACAATGGTATTTGATGCTTGACTCTTCCTGTCGTGATATTTGTGGCAACTTCCCTCCTTTTACTTGTTCTTTGTATGATATTCCTTAGCATATGTTCTTCTTCAACAACAACAACATATTTCACAACAACAACAACAACGAAAGAATTAATGAAGGTTCATATTTTTTAGTTAATTTAGTATATTGAATTTTTGTTGTCATTGTTTTCCGTTGTCACTGGTGGTTAAATAACGGTAAATAATACAACTGAGTATTATGCAGTAAGGGTGAGAGTAATATACAATAATGGTGAGTTTATGTTTTTGTCATACACATTTATTGATGCAAAAGAAGTTATCCTCTCTTCTCTCTCTCAAGTTTTCAATTGCAGGTAACCGGTAGCGTAGAATAAGCGCTAAGATACCTGGCACCTTACTTGATAAAGCGCAGCGACGCATTAAAATAACCGAAACTAAACACAAACTAAAACTAGACAAAAGTGAAAACCTAACCACAATATTTACACGTATATTTCAGTATTTTTCACCATTACTGTAAAATATGAAACTGAGCTTCAATATTATATCAGAGTTTTAGATGGGGAGGACCTTGTGTTGTGCCAGCCAAGCGGAAGATGGACAAGAGGATCACCCTGGCGTGAGTGCGTCTGGCGATATCTCCGTCAAGTGGGGCGTATACACACACTGGGCTAACTCCAGCGACCATGGTGTTATTGGTGACTGTGTTCTTGTTAAATATCTTTCTCTTCACGTCTCTGTTTGTGTTAATTATTGTCAGGTAACCAGAGTTGCGTGATAGTTTATTTATTGCTCTAGAATACGCGCTTAATGACCATACTTATTGAAGCTTAGTAATAACATTTTAATAACGTCGACAGAGATGCTTCCAAAACCCGGTCGTAACGCCATGTTTTTCCATGAGCGAGTTCTACTCACAGCTGCAGTGTGCTGTGTTTCATTAAATTCGGTTTTGTTGGTTGACAGTGAAGTAGCAAGATGAGACCTGCACTAATATCTCCTCCTTGTTGTTGTTCAGGAGTTATAAAGGGTTCTGTTTTTTTTTTACTCTTGATACGATGAACCAAACTAATTCGTCTCTGGCACCAGTTACCTGACACATATCACCTCACTCTCACCCCTGACCTACTGTACAGCTGACCTAAGTTTACTGTAAATACCCTTTCTGAATTGATTATTATTATTATTATTATTATTATTATTATTATTATTATTGGTTTTAAGTAAATATATTGTTTATCGTTCTTGTCTGAGTTCAGGAATCATAATTTGTTAGAAGATCGTCAGTAAGAGTGTGTGTGTGAGGGAGTTATCCAGCCTTGTTAGTAGTACAGTGTAGCATACCTTGACCTACCATAGCCTCGTTCACCCCATATATGGTACTTACATTCCATCCTGACCCCGAGTAATGTCTCTTTTGTAACCCATATATAAAAAAACACTTGTTAAAACCAAACCTTATTCCTTTATCTCAGATGTTTACGTTCATATTTTACTTTTCATAGAGTATTGTTGATTGTTGTTCCCGAGTGTAAAGTGTGGAGGATTTACTTTCGGTTTGGTCATTAAAAACAGATGGTGACCTTGTCGAGTTCATGTCCCAATAGCGACCCTTAGTAATACCTCACACACACACACTACACAGACACAGACAGTCACAGACACACACACATACACACACACACACACACACACACACACACACACACACACACTTAATTGTTACTGATGATTTTGTTAATTTCTGAAAATGTTAAATAAGATGAGCTGTTTCTTAGAAGAGTTTAGATATTAATTAATGTGAATCACCTGAAGATTAACCACCCTAACACTAATTGGGGGGATGAAGGTTAGGTTTGCGTTAAATCAGGTTTGGTTACGTTAGCATTAGGTTAGGTTAGGATTAGTTGGGTTAGGTTATAGCGCAATAGTGGTTTGGTTAGGTTAGCGTTAAATCAAGTTTGGTTAGGTTAACGTTAGATTAGGTTAGGCTTTAGCGGTTATATCTTCATTTGTAATTAGCCCGGCTGGACTAATCTTCAGGGAACCATAACCTACAGTATCTGTGTCCAGCTCTACAAGAAAGTGCGAAGACAAACGAGTTTTTACCCAGCCTGTACACCGCCACTCTACATTCACTACTTATAGGTCAGCCGCGAGTCTACAAGCTGTGGGCGTGGGTGTATGGTGGGCGTGTGGTGGTGGGTGTGTTTGGGGGTGGGTGTTTGTATAGGGTGGGTGTTTGTGTGTGGATGGGTGGGTACATATTATGTGTGTGTGTGTGTGTGTGTGTGTGTGTGTGTGTGTGTGTGTGTGTGTGTGTGTGTGTTCTTCTCGAATATCCAAACTGATCTGTATATAGCAAGTCATATTGACAATCATAAAAAACTACAAGATGCTAACCTAACCTAACCTAACCTAACCTAACCTAACCTAATGTCTATATTTTGGTTATGTCATTAAGAGTAATCGAAGTCTTACATGAAATAACGTAAATTTTACCTTTAGGAACCAATTCCCATTAAGCTATAACAATTAAATAAAACAGTTGTCACCTATTTGGTAAGAATGTCAGCTGCGTCGTGACGATTAATGTGAAGAATATCCTTAAAAGGTGTGACATTATAATATGCTGGGGTTAAGTTCTCAGGGACCTTGTGTGTGTGTGTGTGTGAGAGCAGAGAGGTGAGGTGCTCCTACCCACAGTGAGGTGCTCCTACCCACATTGAGGTGCTCCTACCCACAGTGAGGCGCTCCTACCCACAGTGAGTGCTCCTACCCACAGTGAGGCGCTCCGACCCACAACCAAGAAGGTGGTGGAAGTCACATCAATCTGAATCGTAAATAAAATTGAATTTGTTGCTGTAAGAGGTCACAGAACATCGACAGAGGCTTGCTGGCTGCTGGGGGTCTCTGGGAACATAACAACTGGCTTAGATCCACAATGCAAGCAGGAAAACAGTCAGAGAAAGTGAGTATTTGCGAGTTAAAGTGAGAAGTTAGTCTCAGATTGGTGACACTGGCTGGGGTGTCGGGTTTATTTCCAGGGATTTGGCAGGGTTGAGGGAATAGCAGGCGTTGACAGGGTGGGCGGATAGCGGAGGTTGGCAAGATTTTTTAGGGGGTGTAACGTGAGCCATATCTATATTATATTAGGCTGCACAGTCACGACCAAACGTACTGTCGCCATTCCTGCTCTGTTACGAACCCGGAGATACAGAATTATGAATCCGGTGGACCAGAATAATGTTTCGGTGTTTAGTGCTTGTGGTTCATGGGTCAATCTCGGGTTCGTGAAGCAGCGGCAGACACGATGGTATTGTTGTTTGTGACTCTGCATTAAACCAAGCTTATGAAAATCACGTACGTATATGAACAACCAAACACACACAGACATTTTAGAATATATATATTGTTTTTATATTAGATAATGGTTTAATGTAGCCACGCCATTATTATTACTGTATATACTGTATTGTTTTAGAGACATTACAAGCTTTAACTACAGTGGTTTCTGAGAGATATCTGTTGCAGTCATACTTAATGACCTGTGAACTTCCCATGTGTAACGAGTGAGTAAATTTAGGTACCCTAACTGTTGGGTATATTACGCTTTATGATTAAATAACCTAACACTAATTTAACCCAACCCAACCCATCCCAACACTAACCAAACACTCGCCTAATCTAACCTAACCTACCTAACCTAAAACTAATCTAAACCCCCGAGGTGACGTTGGGGTGTTAATCATCAGGTAAATTATGCTGGGGTGTCTAATGCTTAGGTGATCCATAATTGTTCTTCATGAGCTGTAGTTACCGTGTATAATGCAACACTACGCTGCTCACTGTGTGTTGACCTTACAGGAAATTCATGCCAACATCGACCTTGCCTCGCCTTGCCCTGTCGTCACTATAGACCTTGGACAGTCGTCCCTTTAGGTGTAGGAAAACTCTCAGTCCTGTGGTCTTCCCCTCGAGCCAGGAGGACTTGCGAGGCACCTGCCAGCCCCTCCCTGGCTCATCCTGTGCCTAGTTGTCATCTCACGTCTTGATGGTCAGAGTGCAAGACAAAGTTTATGTTCCTTATTAACACTTTAGACGGATTGTCAATGAGGTATTTAATTCATGTGTCAACTAGTTACAAAATACGTGGGTTGACCTTTAAGAAAGCATCAGCGGGCGACCCTCGCGCGTGACGTCAAAATGTAAGCTCCACCCACTGCAGGTAGGTGCGTGCCACGCTGCTGGGCCACAACACTCTGGCTTCAGCAGAGTCCCGAAGAGGACCGCAGGCAAGACCAGTCGGCCCGGACCTACAGAGACCTGAAAATAGGGGATTTACCTGTGCATGCAAATCGTCAGGGCAAAGACGACTGCTTCCAGGATTTAGGACTTTTTCTCGGACGTAATGGGAAGGGGAGATCCGGTAGCAGGAAGTGTAGCGGTTAGAGTGATCCCAGTGGTCACTACATAAACGTGACGTCCAGTGTTGTTGTACACAATTGTTTCGGCTCGCTAGAGAAGTGACATCCTTCACGATGGCGCAGACGCAGCCGCAGCCGGAGAAACGAAGCCTATGGCGGAAGTTCACGGACTGTCTGGGCACCATCTCTGTGGAGCCCATCATGTTGCTTGACGGACTGGCCTACTCCAACATGGTAGTCCTCGTGGAAAACCTTCAGATGGACAAAGTGTGCGAAGTTAATCTCAATCAGACGCGCGAAGTGTGCGGGAATCTTTCTCAACATAAAGAAGTTAAAGACAGTATGAGCAAAGAAGTGAGTGTGTTCGCTATGTACAACGGGATCATCACTGCTGTCATCCCTCTGTTCTTCATCTTGTTTATGGGTGCGTGGAGTGACAAGTATGGCAGGAAGGTCCCCCTCGCTGTCTCCACCATCGGTCACCTCTTCTACAGTCTGGGGTACTTGGTATCCTCCATGGTAGATACGTGGCCGGTGGAGTACCTGCTGGCCGTGGCACTGCTCGACTCCCTGGGTGGCGGAACAGTATCTTTCCTTACGGCCGCTAACTCTTACATCAGCGATGTCACGTCGGAGGAGAGCAGAACCTCTCGGGTGGGTCTGGCTAACAGTATATGGTTCCTCGGGGGACCCATCGGTACACTGATTGGAACTTACATATACAAAGCCGGCGGATATCAGGTTCTATTTGGAACGTCCTTAAGCATGTACGTGGTGTCCTTATTTTACATCTCGTTCTTCCTGCCTGAGAGTCACGGACCCTTCGCCAACGTGCAGAAACTGGAAATTCTGCCCCCTAAACAATCTCTGCGTCTCCGAGAGAGTGTTGCCTGGGTGTACGGCATTGACAAGGCCAACAAAAAGAAAGTGATGCAGACGAAGAGTGTCCTGAAGAGGGCAAAGAGTATCACCTTCGGCATGATGTTGAGGGACTTCCTCAACCCCAGGATTCATCGACAGCTTCAAGTGCACACTGAAGAAGAGGGAAGGTAGTGTCCGGGTGTACGTCCTGCTCCTGATCCTGTGCAACATGTTGAGGAAACTCGGTCGAGGTGAGTATTAGCTGATGTACTGCCTCTTAACCCCTTCACTACAGGGGCGTCACTTATAAGATATTATTTACTTAACGTCAGACGATTTTACTCAGCTCAGAGGGGAACCCATACACAAAGGGGATATTAGACTACCTTCACTAACTTCTGATTACTCTTTTATCTCCGTCTGTTTAGTCAAAGAGATGAAATTATATAACACAGGCATGAACTTACAATACCTCATTACTGTAAGGTCAGACGGATACAAAATTCGTGTCTGGGACGTGTATACTTCGCAATCTTCCATTTAACTTTTAAGATGCGACAGACTCTTGCAAAATATTGGTTTCCCTTCTATTATTGTTTTAACTTGAAGGTCATCATCGTAAAACAGATTTTATTCATATTTAAGACAATCTAACCTAACCTAACCTAACCTAACCTAACCTAACCTATTTAGTGACAATATCTTATAACCTGGTTTGTAATTACGTATCTCTATAACCCTCTTGAGTACGATGACTTAATTCATTGTACTCAAAAGGTTAAGCCATCGTAATCAAGGAGTTAAGTCATCGTATCTAAGGGGTTAAATCATCATACTCAAGGGGTTAAGTCATCGTATCCAAGGGGTTAAGTCATCGTATCTAAGGGGTTAAATTATCATACTTAAGGGTTAAGTCATCGTACCAAGGATAGGGTTATGTGATCATCTCCACCAAAACAATGCCCAACTGTGGGGAGGTGGGGAGGCTTCATAGATATAATGAACATATTGTCAGACACCAATTATATTTAACCTATTACCTATTACCTATTACCCACTAAACTGTAATAGTCTTTTTATCCATCGTAAGAATTGGTTCAGTTTTTTGCCATTTTTTTACTTTGTGTGTGTGTGTGTGTGTGTGTGTGTGTGTGTGTGCATAATTTTGTATACCTATGTGTTTTATGCTGCACTGAGGCCATAAGATATGAGTCATTGTATAGTACTCTCCTATGTCTTAGATTACGTCACACAGTTCTAGTCATTGTCACTGCAAGTTGCCGAAGTAAATTTTTATCTTCGGTAAATGAGAGAGAGAGAGAGAGAGAGAGAGAGAGAGAGAGAGAGAGAGAGCAGCATTCCATATAATTTGAAGAAGACAGAATTTTTGCTACTGTACATTTTGAGTTATTACCGCTACACCTTTACCTATAGATGATACTGTTTGTAGTGAAGAAGGAGGGGAGTGGAGAGAAGAGAGAGAGAGAGAGGAGGAAGAGAGAGAGGAGGAGAAAGGAGGGAGGAGAGAATAGGAAAAAAAGGGAGGGAGGGTAGGAGGAGGGGCAATAACGAGGTACAGAAAACCACGGGGCGGTTGGGTCAGCCTCAACAGACCTGCCCCGGACAACTCGCGTGCTCAGTCGCTTTGCTTGTGGTTGGAGGACGGTCCTATCTACCTGCTCCTCTCTCTCTTCGCTATTTGTCTCTCGTCAGTGTCACAACCTTTGCACATCCGCTTTGCATATTTCGTGTTTAATAACTTCACCTCCAACAACAACAAGAAAACCCCACTACTATATTCGTGAACAATACTAAATACATCGAGTGTTCTTAGGGCAGATTTTACATCCATTTCATTATCTACATGATCAAAATATTCACAAGTAAGTCAGTATAATTCACTTTACGTTTATCATATTCTAAAACTCCCTTTTAAAATGTAACTTCAATGCTTAGTTTTAACACTGTTTAATATAGCTTACAAATTTACCTTATAGATTACGTCAATATTGAAGTATGTAGCTATTTTTTTTTTGTATCATTGAACTTAAAGGGAATTATTCTTTGTGTATATCTTATTGTTTTTCGGGATGATGTAATTTTGCTGTGAATGAGGAAGTAAAATGTTTTGCTTGTGTGTGTTGAAGTAATATACTAGACGTGTGTTGTTCCGCGTTCTTCTTCTCAGGGTCTTGTGTTGACTAGTGGTGTTGTGGTGACTAGTGGTGTTGTGTGTTGACTAGTGGTGTTGTGTGTTGACTAGTGGTGTTGTGTGTTGACTAGTGGTGTTGTGTGTGTTGACTAGTGGTGTTGTGGTGTTGACTAGTGGTGTGTGTGTGTTGACTAGTGGTGTTGTGGTGTTGACTAGTGGTGTTGTGTGCTGACTAGTGGTGTTGTGTGTGACTAGTGGTGTTGTGTGTTGACTAGTGGTGTTGTGTGTTGACTAGCGATGTTGAATACGAGTGCAGTGGAAATTCACACACACACACACACACACACACACACACACACACATACACACACAGTTCTTTACACTAGGATGTTGCAATTATTAATGTATCTTGCACACTTAAATATCTTAAGTGTTGAAGCGTATTAATAACATTATAGCAACAACGCAGATAGTGGATAGTCATTTTTAACATTCTTACTGATACTGTGACTGTCGTGTGAGAGGAGGGAGAGGAGAGATGGGGTGAGAGGGGAAGAGGGGGGAAGAGAGGGGGAGAGGTGAGAGGGGGAGAGGGGGGTGGAGGAGAGCAGCTATTAAACCGATAAAAACTAGTTTGGTTAGATGGTCGTGTTTGGTGTGAGGTTAAATTCTTGGTTTAGGATTACCAGTTAAATCTAGATGTTCTTGTGTTAATATCTTTAATGATTGATAATGTTAAATATTTAGTTATTCTTACTCAGTTAACTGTTAGATGGTAAATAAATGAAGAAGAGGGTAAATTAATGATGTTTTTAGGTGGTGTGGAGGTGTGAGTTTAGTCGATCCTCCCAGACAGGTTTCGATTCCTCTCGTCAGGTTCCAGTCGATACCTTGAACCTTTGATGTCCTCGCGCTAAATATCACCATTACTTATATATTTTTTTTTATATCCACTTTGAATACTGTCCTTTGGAAGCTACGACCACACGAGGTTGGAAATTCTCTTAACATACCTGTCCTGATTTACCTGTTCTGATTTACCTGTCCTGATTTACCTGCCCTGACACACCTGTCCTACACTTCACACTTCCTGACACCTGCCTGACACCTGCTGCACCTCTGACACACCTCCCCTGACACCCACACCTGCCCCAACCCACCTTCCTAACACACACCTGCCCCAACACACCTGCCCTGACACACCTGCCCTGACACACCTGCCTAACACACCTGCCCTGACACACCTGCCCTGGATTCACCTGCCCCAACACACCTGCCCTAACACACCTGCTCTAACACACCTGCTCTAACACACCTTTCCTAACACACCTACTGCTAACATGTTGACTTACTCTTAAAAAAGGTTAATATATAGAAAGCCTGTGTGGGGTGGAGCATTAGGAAGCCAGTGTGGGGTGGAGCATTATGAAACCTGTGTAGGGTGGAGCATTATGAAACCTGTGTAGGGTGGAGCATTATGAAGCCAGTGTGGGGTGGAGCATTATGAAACCTGTGTGGGGTGGAGCATTGTCTTGGCAGGTAATCGGGAAGCTGAGACACACCGTTAGTTAGAGTGAAGGCAGGCTGCCGACCCAACCACTGACGGACCGCTTCGCCTCTACTGGACACGTTACTACCAAGGTGATCATCCGTCTCCTCGCGAGCTGTCAACACTGGGGTCGTGAACTCGTCGACTCGCGGAAGAGAAAACTATACATTTCTTCAATGTTATTTTGTTTTGTTTTCTTCCTTTTAGGTTTAAGGTGGTCATCCAAACTGTCTTTCTATAGCTCAGGTGGTCCTCCAAGCTGACTCTATAGCTCAGGTGATCCTCCAAGCTCTATCTATAGTTTAGGTGGCCCTCAGAGCTCTAAAACCTCCCTTACAATTGACAAACAGTTGCTTAAAAAGTTGAATAAATATAGAACTTGTCGCGAGGCCCATCAAACATGCTGACACGGAAAGAGAAAAATTCACTCTGGCATAATGCGTTTTTTACCTTGTACGAGTTATTCATCGGCAGTCATGCAGTCTGTGACGTTTATTTTTACATTCATGATGGTGCCTGACTGTTAGATGAGTGTGAATGTTACCCGTTGGTAGACTGTGTGTAGGGTAGAATGTTGCTTTTCCACACCATATTTGTTTTGGATTATTTTTTTTATGTCTTCAACCACCTGGACCTGTTTCATGCATAACTTTTTCATTGGTGTGCTTATTTGTCTTGTCATGCACAACCACTTCAACATTGTCATCCTAACTTGTCATGCACAGCTTCTCCAACATTGTTATCCTAACTTGTCATGCACAGCTTCTCCAACATTGTCATCCTAACTTGTCATGCACAGCTTCTCCAACATTGTCATCCTAACTTGTCATGCACAGCTTCTCCAACATTGTCATCCTAACTTGTCATGCGCAGCTTCTCCAACATTGTCATCCTAACTTGTCATGTACAGCTTCTCCAACATCCTATCAATTTCTCTCATCATGCAATCAACTTTCAGACAATCACGAGCTAACACAAAGACCAGAATTTTAACATTAACTTCACAAGTGTTTTGATTCACACGACCTTAGAAGAATGTACAACTTTTTTTTTTTTTCAACTCGTCTTTATGAAGTTATCTCGAAGGCTTTATCAAGAAGACTTGTTTTTGCTTCACACTTAAACCAGATTATATTACTTTACCACAAGATACAGTTAAATAGACTCAGAGCACCTTTGTTTATGTCCCGAGTCCAGAATGATACACAGTTATCTTGTTGAGGTTAGGTTAGGTTGGGTTAGGTTAGGTTAGGTTGGGTTTGGTTAGGTTGGGTTTAGTTAGCATTAGGTTAAGTTTGGTTAGAGTTTGTGGTTAATCTCCAGGTGATCTGTGAACTCGTTAACCACTGAAGATATATATTCAAAAGGTGTATCTGTGCTAATCGACGTCACGAGGCTCTTTTGTTTTTATAAGTAAGCTATTGGGAGCTATTGTTACAGTATTCATCCACTCTGAGACTCACACAGTGTAGCGTAGATAATCGAGGCAGTAAATTGCAGTCGTATGAAGGCGTGACGTCATTCTTATAAAGGTGTGACGTAGTTGGGGA